TATCGAGGTCCTAAACTGTTTAGGGCCTTGTATGTGAGCATTAACACTTTGAAGTTGATGCAGAAACAGATGGGCAGCCAATGCAGCTTGGCCAGAATAGGGGAGATATGATGGTGTTTTCTCACTCCAGTGAGGAGTCTGGCCACCGCCTGAAGTTTCCGCATCAGCTTCAAAGGGAGCCCCACGTAGAGCGCGTTACAGTGGTCTAATCTCGAGATTACGAGCGCATGTACTAAGGTCGTGAGTGCCCTCGTGTCTAGGTAAGGACACAGCTGGGCGATCCGCCAAAGGTGGAAAAAGGCGGTATGGACAACCGACACCACCTGCGTTTCCATGGTGAGCATCGGGTCCAGGTGTACCCCCAGGCTGCGAACCCCACTCTTCGCGGCCAGGACCACCCCCCCAAACGAGAGAGAGTCACCCAGGCCGCCCACAACAGGGGCACCCACCCTCAGAACTTCCGTCTTGTCCGGGTTCAGCCGCAGCCCGTTCTCCTGCATCCATTGCAGTACGGCCTCCAGACAGCGCTGGAGGGACAGGACGGCATCACCTGCAGTTGGTACAAAGGAGATGTAGAGCTGGGTGTCATCAGTGTACTGATGACACGATGCTCCACACCCCCTGATGACCCCGTCCAACGGCCTCATATAGATGTTGAACAGCATTGGGGAGATAACCGACCCCTGTGGAACCCCACATTTGAGGCTCCACGGGGCCGAAACACTCCCCCCAAGCTGCACTCTCTGGGGGTGGTCCTCCAAGAAGGAGCGGAACCAGGCCAAATCCAGGCCTCCGATACCTAACTCGGAGAGCCTCCCCAGGAGGATACCGTGGTTCGACGGTATTGAAGGCCGCCGAGATGTCGAGGAGGACCAACAGAGACGTCTTACCCCTGTCGGCCTCCCTCAACAAGTCATCGTACAGGGCGACATTACCACATATCAGTGTTCTATCAATTATTTCTATTGGATACGCAATATAATTCCTTTCCATACTGCCACCATGGATTGCTCTCACTTCATTATCCACCTTTCTCAAATCAGAGATCCAGTCACTCCTCTCAAACAACACTATTACACATATCACCCCAATTGATTCTGACCCGGGCTTCTTTTCCCGATACTTCCTTGTTCCAAAACGAGACTACAATCTACGCTCTATCCTTGACTTTCACAATTACTTCAATTACTTCATCACTCAAAGGCATTTCCGCATAGTGACTCTGGAACATATCCTGCTCCTTCTACAAGAGGGAGACTAGCTCTCTGTCATTGACCTGAGCGATGCCTACTTTCATATCACCATCAGACGGGACCACCGCAAATTCCTTCGCTTCTCCCTTGGTCATGCCACCTATGAATTCAAGGCCCTACCATTTGGCTTATCCACTGCTCCGTGAGTATTTAGAAAATGCATGGGCCCCGTAGCAGTGCACCTTTGCACTCTAGGAATTTCAGTGTTCCTATACATCGATGACTGGTTGCTCATCGCTCAGTCACAAGTGCAAGCTCTGAAGGACATTGCTCTCACTCTTTCTCTTCTGGGAGATCTCGGCCTCGGGGTCAATGTCAACAAGTTGTACTAACTCCCTCTCAAAGAGTCAATTACATAGGTGCGGTTCTAGATTCACATCACGTCAGGGCTTTCCTCCCATGAGAACGCACAATTAAGATACATTCTCTTGTCATCCATCCACTTCTAGCCTTATTCATTGGTCACTGCTCATCATGTGCAGCACCTCCTCGGCTTCATGGCCTCCACCACATCCATCATTCAACATGCCCGACTGAAAATGTGCTCATTACAGGCATGGTACCTCTCCTTATTTGAGGAGCAACCCTATGAGAAAACCGACAGACAGGGAGAGATTTGGAGCATCACCGTGTTAAGGGACAATGAGATAATTAATGGACCTTCCATGTTATGGGCTGACTCTTCATTAATAGCTGGTCATGTTGGACCCACAGAAGTTATTGTTGATTCCCCCTTTCCTGTTGAAAGTAAAGCTTTGGTTGATAAAACTACGTCTCCTGTAAGTAATTCCGCCAAAAAGGAGGAACTGCTTAGTTGTGAATGTGAACCCAGTCACAGCCAGATATCCTAAAATGGTTCTCCTCTTGGTTTTTGCTGTGATATAACTTCGCTTTACATAGATTCTTGTCCATTTCTCAGATTCTCCTTATGTCCGTTATGTAAGGAGAATGTGAGATTCTTAGATTCAGCCCTTATTGTTTCAGGATCATTTTGAACACTTGCTTGCCCTGTTTCTATGACATTGAAATGCTGAACCCCTTTGTCCACTTTTGCCTGAGACCATGAAAAATTGCTGCCAGTTAGAGTAGACAGTACTACTCTAGATAGACACATAATTGGATGTAGTTAATTAATTGTGTGTGGGGAACTCTTTCTTGTATTTGGACAGAATGGTACCTATAGCTTGTGCAAAACTAGAAACGGGAGCTATAAGCTGTCTCCCCCTCATACACTAAGAGAGAAATAAAAGAAATTAAGCATGCATAAGACTGAGGTGCTGATAATAAAGAGCATTCTTTTAAAAGTGCACATAGAATAAGTGATGCTTAAGATGCTGTATTTAACAATCCCCTTTTGATATGAGACAAAGCACATTTGGACTAGTGTCTTAATCATGAAATAAGAAATATGCTGTATTTAACCCTCAAGAAATAACTGAAGCATTTTCAATTCACAATTCACCAAACTGAAATGGAATATCAAAAGTGTTCCATTTTATTGCTGAGATTTTCTATTGTTTTAATCAAAGCTTTGAGTAGCACCCTCTATGCAGTTAGAATTGAAGATGCATGACATCATTACTAAGTCAAACTGAGCACACAGCTAGGTGGGGAGCCAAAGGAAGTATGGTCAGGAAGTGGAGTATTTATGAGTCATGTTATGTGAATGTGTATGGTGAGCCATTGCTGATTATATTCAGCCAAACCACAGTGTTGATGTTGGAAGATTCGGCGTGGGAACTACAAGTATAAGCCTTTAACCCTCCATCTACCCACCCACATTTTATTTGTATTTACTTTTACAGTAACTTGGTTTTCTCAGATGGTTATGTTTTCTTCATTTCCTTAGACTTTATTTATTTAACAGTTGTTACTAGAAAAGAGGGCCCTAAGGACTTCATTGTAGTATTTGGAGAGAGAATCAACATTTTCCAGAGCTCATCTCCTGTCTCTGTATGAAAGGAAAATTTCTGTTTTCTGCCAGGAAGTCTTGCTTTGTATTAATTTATTCTTGGTGAATTCAGACATTTTTATATTGAACTTTCCCATTGTTTGCAGTTGCTTTTCAATTCCTAATACAATTAGCATTTTGCCATTTTTGACCACCACCACCCCCGATCTTTTAGCACCACTAATGCCAGTTTTTAATAAAATCTATTTCAATTGCTGGCAGTTGAAGGAAAATGTAAACAAATGAAATAAATATGGGGAAGCAAGAGACACACAAGGCCGTGCACACAAATAGCAGACACCAGGCACAGGACACTAAGAAGCAGGCAGGAGACACAGAAGCACAGAGACAATACACAAGGAATATGGATTTCTCTCCATAAATGCAAACTGGCAAATGGCAATAGCTTGGGTGAGAAAACCTAATATTTTTCACGTGTATCTGGATATGCTAAAGGCTAAAGATTGTTCAAAGCTATAATGCTTTTTACTTTTTAATAATGTGTTTTACTCTTTGACTATGCCTTTGAAAGATATAAGCTCCTATATTTTTGGATTGCAATATGATATAAATTCTTATGTAAAACTTTTATTGTTAAAAGCTTAGAACGGAAATAGATTTTTATGACAAGTTCTGTCTACAAGTTTTGCTTTTAGATTATTTCTTATTTGCAGCTTTTCATAGTGTAAGAATTTTTTTATGGCTATCATACTGGTAGTTTTCACCTAAGTTGCAAGGATGGATTTCTGTCTGTCTCAAAAAGTTATGTTTTCAGTAGCTCTTGAAGTTTTATTCATAGAAGAAACGTAGAAGAATAAAGCGCATGGAAAAAAACAAGCTGATGTTGCGTGGAATTATTGGAACCAAGGTTCATGCCCATCTCTATTCTGTAATTTTTTGTTTCTTTTCACTGTACAATAAATTATGTTTTAATGTATACAGTATATACATTATATTATAATAATTTCTTTTATTGTGAAAAATTTTAAAATGCTGAATAAGCAACATAACAAATACACAGAGCTTTAATTACCAATGCAAATGGGATTATTGAGATTTGTTTTCTTTGTATAGATGTACCACATGCATAACCAACTTCTTCTCTTGAGATATATGATCTTCTAGGCAAGATCTTGATCCCAATGTTAAAAACAGGACAAACACAAATGTCCTAGTTTTGAAACCCCAAAATGAATGGTTTGGCTGTTCTTCCCAGTTTGTTTGTTTGTTTTTGCTCATAGGGATAATATAGATCACAGCAGGTCCTGTAGATGGAGAAGGGTGC